TATCCCATGTTGGCGTCGCGAGGAGTAATCGCCCCCCCCCTCCTCCCCCCAAGGTATCAGCGTCCTCTGGTCGATCAAAAGACAAAATCATACCCCTATGGCAGCAATATCTCACCTCTGTAGTGTTCAGTTTCAGGCCAATCCAAAAAGTGGTCTTATCTGCCGTTGCAGTGTTGGTTGAATAGTTGGCAGCAGCAAGGTAGCGCATGAAGGCCACATCACCGGCCGAATGTGGCACAGCCGGAACGGCACCAGCGTGGAGGCTGTTGCAGGCTGCGCTGACATCATCCGTCAGGTTGGACGTCCGACGGGTCAGGTTCTGGTGCAACACGCTGAAACAGGCGTCACCGTAGTGAACAAAATTGGCGTCCTTGCAGGGTCCTGATTGCAGCAGGCCACTGCTCGTATCGGAACTGGTTGTCCCGACTAGAAGGCGCAAAGCAATGCAAAAGCGGTAATTAATAAGCCTACTAAAAATAAGTAAGTAGTCGTTTATGTTCACATTTATTGTCAATTAACCAGCGGCGACTGCTTGCTTCTCGCGCTGCAATGGTATAAACAACAAGCTCTTTCTGAAGCGTCCTCATAGTACTGAGGACCTTTCTAAGCGATTTTGTAAGTAACGAGAGTTCAAATGCGCTCACCCATCTTTGTCTTAATAAAAATGAACTGAACAGAAGGAATGAAGAAGGAAAGAACACAGACGGCAGTCAGCACTCACCCCTTTCGCAGATAAATCCCATGGTCGTTGAGCAATTGGTCTCGCTCCAACGTCCTAAGTCAGATTGTCGGTTGCTCACTTGCGCGCACAAATCCTGGAGAAAAAGACGGGGTAAGCAGTGTATAAGAGGCGCATTTTGGGACGCGACACTTGTATGTTGGGTCATAACAGTTACACGACAAGTTATCCGATTGGGACCCACAAGTGATGGTTAAGGTACGCGTTAGAGCAATGAAACCCGACTTCTACTCCGAATCGATAAGGCTATAGATGACATAATTGCTGGTAATAAAATAAGCCCCATGAAGTAGGTTGAAAAGGAAGAAATCGGCGGACCTCTCAATTACCTACGACACATAAATAAATAAAAACTTGAAAAATGGACGAGTTCAAATAGGTTAATGATGATAGAAGTATCATAGACGACACGTTGGGCGCAACAGTAACGCACGTGCGTCTGTGCAAAGGACAACAATGAAAAGAAGTTAGCCGTCTGGTAGCGAATGGTTCGATTGTAAGGAACAAATAGAAGCCGATACAGCGAAATAAGTTGCGCACTAAGGAGGCATTGAGGAATTTTATATCATCCTCTTCATCGAAGCACAAAATTTTGCCTCGCGCAGACGTCCTTCTGACTCATACTTGTCATGTGATGTTGGGAGTCGCGGATCCCAACACCAATAAACTCCCCCCTCAGAAACCCTTTTTGAAGTGGAGGATTCTACACAAAAGAATTCCCTTGACAGTCCCCCGAACGATAAAGGGGTTGTAGAGTGCACGAAGGTGCTTCATTAAGTCACAAAGTAGCTTAAAAAGAAAGCACTATATAGTTTGAATTTTCCCACACCGCATGCTAGAAGCAAAGTTAATAATCATACCTTGTTGTGCCACAACGGTTCATTGTCCACCCAATTTGTGTAAATTATTGGTGTATTCTGAATCCAGGCATGCTGGTGATCCCGCATGCGAAGCCCAATCCAGACCGGAAGATGTTGGCCAGACATCATTGCCGTAATTGCGTCTGTTACAAAAAGAAACAAACCAGTTGATCAACAAAAAAGAAGCTACTAACGTAGGCAAAATATATTCGCAAGTATTATTAGTTCAGTCAGTCGTACTGTTGAACAGTTTACTAGTCACATGCACCGAGAGACAACGCTAGCACAGAGGTGACACAGTCGCTGATCGCAGCGTACTTACCTCACACTTGAGTGCTACCACAGAGGTTTCAAAAAACGGTGGGAATCCGGGTCTTGCA